AATTCCCTCATGGGGCACGAACATTCGTTCAGTATTCGTCCCGAAGGACCTGTCCAGAGGTTACAAAAACCCCGGTAACTATCCAGAGGTCATAAAGATCCTCGGCAACTATCCATATGTTCCTTTTAACATAGGTAAACCCTCGACTCTTGGCATGCCAACTATACCTATAGCTCTCGTATCATATACTATGGGCATTTATTTATACATTTCGTATCACTTGTTATTCTCTTTTATCACATAGCACAGTTGTGTAAATATATCTCATATCATATCACATGTATTATATATACATGTATTCACGTAAATCATTTCATATAATTCATATCACATATATCACATGTGCATATAAGCTTATAGCTTCTTTCACATATACATGTAGTCACATAGCTTTCTTTCATGTAACCATGCATGTCATGTCAAATAACATATATCATATGTTCCATTTCACTTAAGCATATAAATCATATAACATAGCATCTATCTTCTATGTATTAATGCATACATGGTAATACATAACAATTTAGAAGTACTTCTTACCATAGTAACTTCATTGGCTCATCACAAGCCAATGTTAATTCAATAAAATAAGTACAAAATAAATTACACTCACCTTAGCTTTGCTTGATTCGATTCTAATTCCTCAATTGTCCCGAAACGGATCACGTTCTATCTCTACATAACAATACACAGATTCATATCAATATTCCAATTGATATATTCTAAACTGTCACTTCTTAGGCTAAGAGAAAAGCCAATTTCCTCTTTCAATGAAGGTATGCATCGATGCACTACTTGTGCATCGGTGCATAAATGCATTCGATGTTTCCTTTTAAGAGATGCATCGATGCATACCTTATGCATCGATGCACTAATTGCATTTGATGTTTTATTATTAATGGGATGCATTGATGCACTCCTTATGCATCGATGCATCGATGCATTGATTGCATTCGATGTTATTATTTTAAAAGGATGCATCGATGCAGTAGCTATGCATCGATGCATCAAAGGCATTCGATGTTCTTCTTTTAAAGGAATGCATCGATGCACTTATGAATGTGCATCGATGAACCTTGTCCAAAAATTGTATTTCAAGCCCGAAATTCATCAATTCTTCATTCAATTCTTCTATTTTAATCCCCTATCATGTCTTTAAACTCAACTATCATTATTGAAACCAACTTATGTCTATATAAATCATATTTATCTTCCATATTTCATCAAGATTCTTAAAATTAAGAATCTTACTAGACTTTCAAATTTGTTATAAATCTTTTCTAACTTCATAAATCTCTTATTCTTATTGATGACAAGTCAAATTCAATCTTAAAAATCTCTTATTAACTCTTTTCCAGAATTTCCTTTAAAAACTCATTTTCTTTAATCTTTCATAACTTCTTTATCTTTCAATCTTAAGATAACTTAAGCTTTCCTTAAGCTTAGTTATTATCTAATGATCAAAACCCAACCATAAATTTAGCAAATAACCAACTAACAAAGAAACTCACCTTTGCAAGCTTGGCTCTTCACGTTTGAGAGAAGATGAAGATGAAGAAGATAAGTCTAAAACTTATCTCTTCAATCATACATCTCATGTATTATAATACCCATTTATTAATATTTAATATTATCTTTGTTCAATGACCATTTTGCCCTTCATCTACTTTAATAATTACTAACAACTTTTAGAAATTATTTCCAAATAAATCATTGAATTATTCCATTCTTCTACTTAATTCATCAAATTCTTAAACTTTACAATTTAGTCACTAACCCCTAGTTTGGGATGTTACAGAACTCCTGGAACTGCAGTGGAGTAGGAAACAATAGTTTTGTGAGAAATTGCAGGGAACTGATTAAAGAGGAACAACCTAATGTTATTTGCCTTCTGGAAACAAAAGCGAAAAGTGGTATGGGCAGAATTCTCCAAAGAAAGCTTAAGTTTGGTTACCATTTTGAGGTCCTGGTTCAAGTCTCACATTCGAGGAGGCAAGATAGAGACCACAATAATCATCCAAGTCAAGATATCAATCAATTGAACATCACCAATTGGAACAAGTTAAATACTATTGTAATATTTATTCATTCATCAATCTCAATGCCACATAACTCAACACCTTACCAGGATTCACTCAAAGCGCTCAATGTGTTTGAGTATAGAAACGCTCAATGTCAGAACCGACATGATATTACCATGGGCCTGCAAGTAAATCAAATTTCCACTACTAATAAGAACAAGATGCATAAATTAAAGAGTCTTTTATTGGTTGTAATGAGACTTATGTAAAGATGGAGAAAAATGCTAATAATATGGCTAAAATTCAAGACAATGAACTAACAAATAACAAGTTCAACTCCATCAATCGACTAAGTTCAGCAAGATAAAAAAACACAAACCATCAAACAACACATTTCCTTTCGAATTGAACTTGACTTTTTCGCAGTTTTTTTTGGATAATTTAATTTTATTACCCAAAGAGTAGAACCTGCTTAAAAAATAATCAGAGCTCTGAACACATCAGGACATCCTACTTACAAAAAAATCAAAGATCAAACTATTTCCCAACGCTTACAAAGATTAGTATTAACATTATCAACTCTATTTAAATTTCTACCCCTCAGTTGTAATCCAACAATGTCCTTAATGGCACGGAACAGTTCTTGTGCTTGTCTGGATCGACCTTAAAACAATTTTTTGTTTCTTTCTTCCCACATAATGTAAATCAGAGCATTAAGAGCTATCTTCATAATGGAAGTAAGCAAATATTTTCCTTTCCAAGTAGAGCATGCTCACGCCAAAAAAGATTCTCATGAACGATTTTTATATTGAAGACCAGAAAGGGAGAAGATTGAATTCCACAAGTAATCTGCCATAGGACAAAGTAGGAACAAGTGATCCCTGGTTTCCAGAGAATCATATCAAAACATGCATTGGCAATCATTGATAAGCCCCATACGATGAAGTCTTTCCTTTTTTGGAAGTCTATCAAGTAAAGTCATCCATGCAATTAACCTATGTTTAGGAATATGGAGAGGAAACCAAATAATTTTCTACCAAGGAAGAAGGGGTCTCCTTACCCGAATAGCATCCCATATGTTCCTCACTTTCATTGCTCCAATAGACAGGATAGGGAAAGCCTCAAACCTTAATTTGAGGATTCTCCTAAAGCTCCAGCTGGTAGAGGGTCGAGTTTCAACATTTCAGAAATCCTTGTCTTTAATAACATAGCTATTTATCCAAGCCACCTATAGTGAACCTTCGCCTGCAAGGATTTTTTTGATAAGAATGAGCATACAAGCTTTGTTCCAAGTCTTTAGATCTTTTATTCCAAGCCCTCCCTCAGATTTCAGAAAGCAAATATTTTGTCAGCTTATTCGAGCTCCAGAAGCTGTTTTATTTGTTCCTTTCCAGAAAAAACGTGAACATAATTGTTCAACCTTTTTAAGGACAGAGTGAGGCAGAAATAATTGCTTACACCAATAGTTGGTGATGTTGAATGATACAGCTCTAATTAATTACAATCTTCCTGCATAACTAAGAGATTTTGTATACCAATGATGCAACCTAGCTTTATTGTTGTCGATTAGAACCATACAATCTTTTTATGAGATTTTCCTTGTGACTAGAGGAATGCCTAAGTACCTCACAGGTATGCACCCAATTTTAAAACCAGTGAGCAGCTTAATTTCCTCTAGAGTAGAGAAGACCATACCAGCAGCAAATAATTCACATTTTGAGCATTGAGGAGACATAAAACAAGTCTAAACACTGTAACCCAAACAGTTCAACAGACCCTTTGCAGAAGATTAGAAGGCCATACCGCAGTTTTGTTGTTTTGTTTTTCCACTTTTGGTGTTTTCTTTTCTTTTTTTCCTTTTTTTTTTGCAAACATCTTTTTCTCTTTTTTCTCCTTTTTTTAATTGAAAGAAGAACTTTTATTTTGCACATGACTTCATTCCTAACACCAAAAAAAAAATTTCTGTTTATGGAGCATTATCATACACCAGATAAATTGTTCACTTATCTTGAAATGGTAGAAAAGAGGGATAAAATAAAAATGCTCGAGATTATAAATGTGGTGAAAACAAAGAATGAGATGATGATCAATACGACTCTGAGAAGGATTGCATTAGTGACCTTGACTATGATGAAAATGATGATCAAGATGACAACAAAAATGATGGTCGTGATGATGATGAAAATAATTGATGATCAAGATGACAACAAAAATGATGGTTGTGATGATGATGAAAATGAAGATGGTGAGGATGATGAAAATGACAAAGAACCGAGTGCATAACTGAGAAGCCTATGAATAACTTGGGAAATGGAATCTGCACATACAGCAGAATCTTTAAAATTACCTTTGCTCCAAACTGTCTTCTGCTGAGCCATCACCATACTAGTAATTAGAATTTTGGGATAGCTGTATTATTGTCGCTTTTTTTGTGGTCAAGTTTTGATGGGAGCACGTGCACTTAGCTTGTTTTACGATGCCCTTTTGGCTCAACAAGTTCTTACAATGTTTTCATAAGATATGGAAACTTCTTGGAATGTAATTGATTATGATGGTATTGCTTCGCATATTCTCCCCTTTATCCATTAAAACTCCCATTCCAAGTAATGTCATTCATGTGATGTGTTTCACATCCTTTTCCTTTTATATTCTTTCATAGCGAGCTATGTCAGTTTATTTTTATTGACGAGGCGTTTAAAGTACTCTCAAGTACACAGATCATTGCTTCAACTGCAATTAGACACCTCTTAAGCCATTAACAAAAACAAATGTTCACTACTTTGAGATTATCAAAGATGAATATTCCAAGTTGTCCCCATTTAGAGGAGAAAAAAAGTAGAATTCTCAAGTCAAACATCTAGGAAACACAACCCGAAAATCCATAAGTGCCCAATCAAGTAAATACTGAATAGTTCTTAGGATCTGAAGAAAAATTAAATGGTTTGGTAGCTCCCCATCCATTGCACAAACCCAACCGAAATGCAGAAACCGAATGTGTCTAAATCTCGGAAATGGCTGCCTGCTGGCCTTCCTGTAATGTTGTGTCTGTGTCTGCTTGCAAGCATCCCAACAGTTACAATCCTGTGCTCCAACATCTTCTACACCCAGTTTGTGTTCAGAACCACCACTTCCAAGGCTGGTATATCCCAAGTCCAATTCGTCTTGCCTCATTCGCTTCGGAATCAAATCTCTGATTTGCAGAAAAAAGTCGGAGTTCTCCTGGAGCAGCTTCGTGGTGCAAGTGCAGAATCTAAAGCAGTAGCGTCGTTTGCTGATCAACTTCTACATATTGCCGTATCCTTGGACAAGTTTGCAGAATCCTTATCAGGTTCCTATGATAGCAGTTCTTCTGGTATGAACGAAGTCAGCGTTGTAGATGAAGACTTAAGTGACCATGGAGAAAGTGAAATCGATCAAGGATCAGATACTCATCGTTTTAACTCAGGTGAGCTTCATAACTACACTGCATTGAAACTGAATAGGCTGATTGGGAAGAAAAACTTCCTTGGGGTGGAAGCAATTAGTCCATCTGTAGGACTCACTTGTGCCAGCATGTCCTCGAGTGTAAATCACTTTATGGATTATAAGATCTATAGGATGTGCCCTGATGACTGGGACATTGCTCAGAAGGTCATGATCAGTGGCTGCGATCCATTGCCGAGAAGACGATGCTTCTCGAAAACACCTCCACGTTTCAGTAAGCCACTCCCTATAAACTCATCCCTTTGGTCTCAACCAACCGACACCAACATTTTATGGAGTCGTTACAAGTGCAAAGATTACTCCTGTCTTGTCTCGAACGAAACATTAGGTAAAAGAGGCTTCTTCAAATGTTCAAACTGCTTCGATCTTTCAAAAAGAGGATGGGAAATCTCAACGAATGAATCAACTTCAGCTGAATTCACCATAGATGAAGTTCTAAGATTGAAGCCAGGAGAGATCAGGATAGGACTCGATTTCAGCCCCACAACTGGCACATTTGCTGCACTAATGAAGGAAAGAAATGTAACAATTGCATCGGCTACCTTGAACTTAGGGGCTCCTTTTAATGAAGTGATTGCGCTCAGAGGCCTCTTACCCCTCTACTTATCAATAGGCTCAAGACTGCCATTCTTCGATAGCACACTCGATATCATACACTCTACCCTATTTTTGGACGGATGGATCGGATTAGATCTTCTTCAGTTTGTCCTTTTCGATTGGGATCGTGTTCTTCGACCCCAAGGGCTTCTTTGGGTGGATAGATTCTTCTGCAAAAGAGATGATCTGAAGATCTATTTGAATGAATTTTCCAGGCTGCACTACAAAAAGTTACTGTGGAGAATTGTTCCAAAGACTGATAGATCGGAGGACGAGCTTTACATCTCTGCTGTATTGGAAAAACCACTTAGAAGCTAAATTCAGTTGAATTTAAAGATTGAATTTTTGCTTCTGCTTTTATCTGATAATCTGCAAATCTTTGCTTTTTGTATCTTATAATAGGTGCAGAATAAAACCAGGTAAATCAGATGTTGGATTCACTATAAGATGACATGTTATGTAAGAAACAGGGACATGAGTGGATGAAAAAGCTGCAAGATGTAATTTTTTTCTTTTCTAGAACTTTTCAAATAAGTTTTAGTTTAATCAGTTTATTTATCCATTTATAATAAAAAAATCACTTTATCTCATGTGACCAAGTATATTGCGTGGCACCAACGCCATTTATCAGAAGCCAGCACCCCGGAAGTCAAACTCCATTGACATAGATGGTTTCTCTAGAACATATCACAAGCTGTTCATAGTATATAAGCTTTGGTTTTCTATTATCTCACAATCATAAACAACTATAATGCATCCATATACTTTTGTCTTAATCAAGCAAATATCCATTCATTGACAAGTGTTTCATACGCCATTTCCCCCCTTTAATTGTTATTCTATTCTTGTTAATGTTAAATCAATGGTTAAACATATCAAATTTATCATAATTAAAGAAAGTAAGCGTTTTGCAGTGGGATTAAAGTGTCCTACCACTTAAACATTTAGACTTTCGTGTCATGTCCCATTGGACGAAAAAGCTACTCATCTCCGTTGTTTTTTTTATACAAAAAATTTTACATTAGAAGTGATTCCACATACCTAAAATTTAATTTAAGATTTATATAAAAATTTATAAATTACTCATAAAAAATAATGATAATGATAATAAAATTCAAATTTAACCTTCCACACTAAAATTTTTAAATCCTACCAACTTGTATCAAGTCTGCGTTGTTTTTGCGCTCTCTCTCTCTGGGTCTTCCCCGTCTGTCATAAACCTTGAACCAAAGGCAATAACCCAGAAAACAAAACTCTCGAAATCCTAAAGCAATGGCTACTCTTTTCTTGTTCATTGCTAGATCTTTCTCCAAGCTAAGTTCTTTCAGCGTCTTGCTTCTGTTTTTGTTCTCTTTCTCAAGTTTCACCTCAACAGGTTTGTAGAATCCTCCTCTTCCTTTGTTTAAAATGTTTGGGAAGTTATAATATTTTTCTTTTAAGGTGTTTTGATTCTTTGATGAATGTGGTAAATGGGGTTTCTTTAATTATGTGAAAGCTCTTTCTTTTATGGTTTTTGAGTCTATTTTGCATGTTTATGGAAATGGGTTTTACCTGGGATTTAGCTCTGTAAATCATATTTTCCATATTAAGCGATGAATTTTCTATCAAAATATTGCCTTTTCCTCTTGTTCGGAGAGGTTTGCTTTGTTAGCTCGTGATAATGATAGTCTTTAGTTAAGAGGGTTTAGGAAAAGATCAGCAGTTAATGATGAGATTGAGTATCTAAATATGAATTTTTGGACTTGTTTTTGCAATATCTGTCTGGTGATGATCTGATACTGGTTTCTTTGCTTCGTTTCTTGGTGTATATCTTTATCCTAATGGATGGTTTAGGTATTGGAAATGTATATATATATATGTGTTGTAATTCACTCTTTTAACTCATTTTCAGAAGCCTACGATCCGCTGGACCCCAAGGGAAATATCACAATCAAATGGGATATCATGAGTTGGACCGCTGATGGATATGTTGTAAGTGTTCTTTCATCTCTTATTACTTATGCATGCATAGGTTTGTGTATGCAAGAAGTTAGAATTTGATGATTTAGCTATCTAGTGTGGGGTAGTACGAAGGTCGAACCCTATAATTGCTTGGTTCGGATGACGAATGATTTGCTAACTCTGTAACGCCGAAAATCAGTCAATAGGGAGAACTAAAATCTAGGCTTTTTTTAGGGTTTAACGAATGAAGAAACAAATGTTTGGAGAATAGGTATCACTTTGGCCTAAGTATGTTTCATCACTTGTCCAGTGGCTGAAAATTGTGATTAAATTCTCGGTATAATGAGCAGGCAGTTGTCACAATCTATAACTTCCAGCAATACCGGCATATCCAAGCACCGGGGTGGACATTAGGTTGGAAATGGGCTAAGAAGGAAGTGATTTGGAGCATTATGGGAGGGCAAACAACCGAACAAGGGGATTGTTCTAAATTCAATGGTAACATTCAACATTGCTGTAAGAAGGATCCAACCGTAGTGGATCTATTGCCGGGAACACTTTATAATCAGCAGATTGTGAATTGCTGTAAAGGGGAGTGCTAAACTCGTGGGTGCAAGATCCAGCCACTGCAGCAGGAAGTGATTTGGAGCATTATGGGAGGGCAAACAACCGAACAAGGGGATTGTTCTAAATTCAATGGTAACATTCAACATTGCTGTAAGAAGGATCCAACCGTAGTGGATCTATTGCCGGGAACACTTTATAATCAGCAGATTGTGAATTGCTGTAAAGGGGAGTGCTAAACTCGTGGGTGCAAGATCCAGCCACTGCAGCAAGCTCATTCCAGGTGAGTGTTGGTCAAGCCGAAACCACAAATAAGATGGTTAGAGTTCCTAGGAACTTCACTTTGAAGGCACCAGGGCCCAGTTATACATGTGGACCGGCAAAAATTGTTAAACCCAGTAGATTAGTTAGCGCAGACAAAAGACGAGTCACGCAAGCTTTGAGTAAGTTATTCGAATAAGATCTAGAATGCTATATAGTTATTCCTTTTCTTTCATCTAGAATGCTAGATCGCTGTAATCGACACTGCTTCTTCATGGAATGTTACGTGCACGTATTCGCAATTTCTAGCTCAGAAAACACCTAGTTGTGTCTCTCTCTCTCATCCTTCTATAGCGAAACCATAGTACCTTGTCCTCAATGTGCTTGCGGCTGCCAAAATGCTTCTCAGCAGGGGAGCTGTGTAGAGTAAGTTTATTCTGCCAAAAAGATGATAATTATTGCTTGGATTATGTTTGTGTTGGAGATGATTGTTATCTCGATTCTTTATTGCTTCCTTTGAGCTTTTTGTTTTTATTGTGCAGTCCAAAAGCTCCGCATATAGCGTCTGTTGTTCCGGGTAAGAATAACCTGGCTCCTTTGGTCCAATGTACAAGCCATGTGTGTCTGGTTCGAATTCATTGGCATGTTAAGCTTAACTACAAGTACCGGCGGGTTAAGGTCACGATTACTAATTTCAATTACAATATGAATTATACTCGGTGGAACTTAGTTGTGCAGCACCCCAACTTCAACAATCTCACTCAGATTTTCAGCTTCAACTACAAGTCTTTAACTCCATATACAGTGATAAGTAAGTTTATTTGATCTTGGTCACGAGTGAAATGATCGTTTACATAGAACTCGTCTCTGCTCAATGTCGTTTTGTGGTAATACGTAGCTGCAACAGTTACATGTAAATAGGAAACATACAAATTTTGAAAGGTGATTAGAGAGTTAACTTTTGTTTATTCTACAGATGATACTGCCATGTTATGGGGTGTTAAATTTTACAACAATTTGCTGTCACAAGCCGGTCCGCTCGGTAACGTGCAGTCAGAACTACTTTTCCGTAAGGATAAAGAAGCTTTTACGTTCGATAAGGGTTGGGCTTTCCCGAGAAGAATCTACTTCAATGGAGATAATTGTGTTATGCCAACTCCCAGCTCCTATCCTTGGTTGCCTAACGCCAGTTCCCACCGGCTTGTCTCTGCACAGTGCACTTGGTCTGTTGACGACTCTCGTGGCTGCAATTGCATTTTTATTCGGATACGCATGACGTCCTACCGATTTTTATGCTGCAAAATTTTGACAGAATTGGTCCTACTCGAAAACGCAGGGCGAGAAGCTCCCGGTTGTGTTGCAGTTCGAGCGAGTGAATGTGCAGTTGTTTATTTGTAATGTATGGTGTGATTTGATCACTTGTGCTGTTGTATGCATGTGTATTTCTGAACTTAAACCAGTAACCCTTCTTGATTGTAGGATTGTGACAATATCTTTAAATTTTTATATATTTTAAAATTTTTATATTTTTTTATTAAGAATATATTTTTATCCTCTAAAATTTTATATTTTTCTAATATAAAGTTCTACGTCTGTCTTAGCCCCGACTTTAATCTATTACCATTAAATTACTAAAAAACACATGGGGTTAGCCAGCTCCCATGTGCAATAATACAACAAAAATGACACGCTTTTTCTAATTAAGCAAGACAAAGCAATTAGTCGCAAATATTAAGGTAATGATATGTCTCTTCGTGCATCAAATGAGATTAATAATTCTCTGGTTTTTTAAATATTTTTAGGGATTATTATATTTACTATCATATCCAGCAAGATATAAAACTCTGTTGTCAGTGATTTTAGACAATCATGTTCTCCGATTTTAATGGAATAAATTAATCTAGCAATGCCACTAATACAAGAGAAATTATTCGATACACAAATCAAATAAAATTTAAATTTTATAATTTTACTTATTTTGAAAATTTAAATTCGTCCTGAAATTTTAAAAGTTCAAGTTCGTTCACCGTAGTATAACGAGGGTTATAACATGATGCATTGCATGAGAAATGGGCTAAGAGGATTAGCTAATTAGTTAGAGACTAAAAGGGGGTTTAAATTAAGGAAATAAGAAATACAAAGAATGGTTTGATAATTATACCTTAAATTCTTTGCGGGCATGGTGGCAATGAGCATCAATGGCCAGTCACTTTGGCCGGAACTAGTAGGCCATCATAATTATGCATCATTCCTTTGTCCATTTCAATAATAGAATTCATTGCTTTTCCAAAGAATAGATGATATATGGATATATATCATCTATTCTTTCATCAACTTTGTTGAGTTCACGTGAAGGGCTTGCTTTACATGCTTTCTGTTTTGTAGGGTTTAATTACACCTTAAGCTCCTAATAATTTTAAAACCAATAAAATTAAGCTTTGATTTCTTCACTATTTTGGTTTAATTACCCTTTAGGGTGTTTTCAGTTTTAAAATTAATGAAATTAAGCATCGTCTTGCTAATTTTTTAGTTTATTAAGAAAATCGACGCCC